TTCAGAATTGTGCTGGCGAGGCGTTTTGTGGTAACAGTGTCCCCAGATATGTTCACCATCTTTTCCGCTGTAACTGAAAACAGCTTGCTCCTCATTTCGGCTGTCCTCATCTAACTCCCTTTCTTCCGAAGCTTGTTCCAGGTTCATGTGTTTGGTAAAACTACAGGTTTTTTTTGCTATGGTGGTTTGTATAAAATCTCTCAAGAAAAAAGACCTGTTTTTGATTTGAATATAATATATTTATTATTTTAACTGTAGTCAAAGTAATATAAAGTTGGTGTAAGTAGTAAGCAAGACATAGTCCAATAGGTAAGCTGTGAACACCCTGTATTTGCACTTGAGGTTTGGGACTGGCTGTGTTGACCTGACACCCTTTAAATCAGCAAAGCTTCTCTGATTTACCTTACACAGTGTTCAAGAATTTCTGGCCAGTTAATGGAACTATCACTAGCCCTTTACTACTAAAAATGTTACATTCATTAATCATCTTGTAAAACCATTTTTAAGCTTTGCAAACATTTTTTATGCCTGTGCTATAAGATGACATGTGTAATTCTAGTTGTGGTACTGTTAGGGCCACAAGCTCTTGACATGCACACACACAATCACTATAAATTATGCATGACCATAAAACATCCAAAAACATATGTAACCTTTCTGAAGGAGGAACCCATAAATCTTGTTAATGGGCCCAGATATAGATATACACTACTGCCCATCTGCGGTCTTTATGGCATTAAAAGGCTAAAAGCCAAAGTCATATGCCAGCATGTGGACATATTGTGGATCCTACAGGATATAGCATATAGGTGTATATACTGTATTTAAAAATCATCTGATAAGATGTTACTTTTTTCCATGTTGGTGGTTGTTACAAGGTAATGTCACTGTGTCCACTGTGAAAGGTGAAAAGGAACCACATGAAACTTTCTAGTATTCAGTTTCTGATAACAACTAGTGCCGTGAGACTACGATTAGCACGTCTAATTCTGCCAATGAATCTTGCCAAGGTGTTCACAGTAGTCTGGTCAGACTTTCCTTCCCATATTTATCTTCAGTTTGACTTCATGTCAGCTGATTTTCCTTTCCGTATGTTGATAAATTGAACAATTCGTACCTTCCAGAATTCTAAGCCAATAGTTACCACACACACAGCCGGTCAAGTGTTTGGAATAATTAAGAATTTTTGAAGGATATTGTGACACTGAAGACTGGAGTAATGGCTGCTGAAAACTGTTTTGCCATCACAAGGAAACAAAAAATGTTATTAGAAAACAGTTCTTTTAAATTGTAAAATATTTCACAAAATTTATTTTACTGTATTTGCGATCAAATAAATGCAGGGTAACCATTAAAGACGTTTTCCAGCAACATTAAATATCTTAATTGTTCCAAACTTTTGACTAGTAGTGTAAAATTGTTTTTTATTTTCAATTGCTATTTTATTGGTTTTAAAATAGGTATTAATATTCATCACGCTTGTAAATGGCAATCACTTTAAATTGAAAAGACCTAATTTGGATGACATAATGATAAATTAGTTGGCTTTTCTGCCTCATAAATCTCCAGTTTTAAAGGCTTGCATTATTTTTGGACACCACAGAGGTGTCCAAAAAGTTTACTGTATGTGTGAGGTCCACAGATTTGGCCATTTAGTTCACAGTATGATTGTTTGGGCATTTCTATGTTTCGAAGTATATACAGAGGAAAGCAATTGTAAGAGGGAGAGGAGAGAGGAGAGAGGAAAGAAACCATAATCTCCTGGTACATTATTTATTTTGTCAGCGTTCAATCAATGGCATGAGCCTGTGGCTGTGACTACTTCCAGAACAAACAGACCAGGGTCATAAATCTGTTTCAGACTGTGTTCAGACTTTCGTCAAGCCATGGGATCATCACCATAGCTTCGTGTTCCAGGCTAAATCACTGGACTCAATCAGATGACAGGGAAGCACAGCAGATTGTCACCTTCTATAATACAACAGTCCATGTAATTGTTTTTGGAAGATTCATTCGCTTGCATTTCATCAGAACTAAACTGATAGTCCGCTAGCAGGTAACTGATGAAGGTCATCATTCAGCATGGTTTAGCTCACCATCTTTTAAGTCATGACCCTTTGCTGTGTGCTGAATTTCCGAGTGCAATCATGCGTTGTGTGTAGCTGCTTTATTGAGTTTGCATTCAGCTGCTTGACATGACTGGCCCTTCAGCTCAAGGGTCTATTTGGAGCGAGCAGCACGTTGTGGTAGTGTAATCCAGGCAGACAGCAGGAAGACATTGTCTTCTTTGCCTCGTGTGCTTTGTGAATGTGTCATGATTATCTTTAAATTCAGAATTAGTTTGCTATCAAGATGAGTATAATGAAAATGCAGATTTTGATGATCACATGACACTGAGAATGATATGATCGATTAACAATGTTGAGGTTAATAATGATATTTCTGCAATGATGATGAGGACAGTGACAAGAAAACAAATGATTTACAAATGAAAGATGAGCTGTCATAGTGTGTTGGAATGCAAATGGAATATCAGTCTGAGCGTAATGGAATTTACAAGAATACCACAGCGGACACATTGTGGGCTTCCCCAGACAGTCTCGCCACAGTCCCTCACAACCATTATGTGCAAATGTCAACGTCAAATGCACAAGTCACAGATTAGCAACAAGCTTTCCCCCTGTGCTGTTTTCTCTAATTGTAAATTACAGTTACATGCTACAGTAATGCAGTTACAATGAAAATAAACAGGGCAAGGCCCCTAAAAATTTTAAAAGTGGAAATATGAAGCTTGTACGTTTAAGCACATGACTTAATAAGTAAAAATCATTATTATTTATGTTGTAATGTAGGCTCCAGCCCCTCCCCATGGCCCTAAAGCAAGTAGAAGATGGATGGATGAAAGGAAGGAACTTGTCCAAGTCATCATTTTTGAGGTAAGACAACTTTTGTAGGCAGTGAACATCTGGTTATGCGTTAATGATATGATTGTGGACCATGCTCATTTAAACAGTCCTTTTCATATAGTTCATGCAGTTATATAATTTATTTTTACTATAATGTCTCGTCGTGGTCAAAAACAAGACAATGCTTGTCTTGTGGATGTCTATTTATTATATGACCTTGTCCCTTCATTATATGTGTAATTGCTATTTCTATAGTTAGTTATGTAATAATTTTCTATATATTTATATGATATGTTTATACATTTAATATTTTAATATTAATTATTTTTGTGGTAATCAACTTTTTAACACAAATGCTGTCAACAGAGGGAAGTTGTATTGAATCCTGAATATTCTTTTGACAGGACAACAGATAATGTCAAAAACACAATGAAGTCAAAACTGAAAATGATTTTTTTGGTCATTTAATGTTAGCCTTATTTGTTCATCTTTTAAAACATGTTGGTTTGTTAAACTACAGAGTATCAGAGCTAGTTTGTGTTAGAGCAATGCACTTATGGTCACTGCTCCAGACAGCAGAGGAAGATCCATTGTTAGCGTAAAGTATAAGGGAGGAGAAAAGGATGTGAATTGGAGAGAGAACAACAAAATCCTTTCATCCACAGAATTAGTGGGTTACATCAACCAGTTCAGCTGGGGATCATGGAGGGGAACATACCAACGCAACAATCAGTCCATAATCATGGTACTTTTAAGTAGTCCTAATAGCAAATACTGCTTTGAATTAAATGTACAGTACCTAGATTTATTTGAAGATTAATGTTGGTCCTTGTTTAGTTTTGACTGTGTCTTTCATTCAGTTTAATATGGGAGATCCTGTAGGTGTAATGTTATCTGAACCAGTTTAATCTGGGCTGAGTGAAAAGAGGAATGCGACATGAAGTAAGCAACAGTATCCTCTAGTCATGTGATCAAGAGAATAAATCTAGTCCCCAAATGTAAAGCTATGAAGCTCACAAGAACAAAGGGAGGGTTTCTTAAAAGGTGTAAAAAAAAAAAAAAAAAAGGTAACAGTTTCTACAGTGTACTTCAGATATCTTAAAACAATTACTATGTTGACTTTGGCATTATATTACAGACTTGTCTAAAGCTCATGTTGGGTTAAAAGGTTCAAGACTGCATTTTATACATGATTATGACATTCCTTTGCATAGTAAACTGCAGACACAACAGGTGCTGGTCCCTAGTTGGTCTAAGGGCCATTATAAATGAATACAACATGGATTATATAATTAGACTATTGCTATCAGGGGATACTGACTCACACGAAAGGAATGAAACCAGACATGACTAGACTATGATAATAGATGCCTTCACCAGCAAATTTGATTTGATGTGGCATTGCCAAAAATCTTTTTAAAGACTTTGCAAATCATATTCAAATGAATGCTTATTCATTTAATAGAACTACACAGCAGAAAATCATATTCTTTAATGAGTATTTTTGCCTTGTTTATCGGTTAAAATATGTAATAATCATTAAAACAAAATACATGTAACTGAGCAACATTGTAAAACATTAAGACTTGCTTTCATAGACTATCTTGAACATTAGTAAATTGTGTCCTATTGCACTGGGAAAAAGTTGAACTTTTTATACTTACAAAAGCAAGTGAAAATTAAGACACTCGAGATACATCAAGAAAACAAGCCTCAATAAAAATGTAAATACATTTGTCTTGTTTTATGGATTTTTAGAAGCTATGTTTTTTGCAGTGTAGGTAAATAATCACTGATATCCATTTGAAAAGTTGATCTTCTGGAAAGTCAATTGATTCAACATAAAACGGGCACATGAGCAGGACACAAAACGCAACAAATCGCACATCCAGACAGGTTAGTGAATTAAACAGCTTAAACACAAATGACATTTCTTAATTGTCTTTGTTTCAGAGCCAACGTTTCAAGCCACACATTTTCAGACACAAGTAACACTTAAGCGCTGAATCTGGATCAGCTCCTATACCCAGGAAGAAATCACAACTGATTTAAAATCAGTTTAATAGGTTGGTTTTAAAACACATCTCCACTTACCTATTTGGGGTATTCGGTTGAGAGAAGAGAGCCAGGCTGTTGGCCTGTTTGTTGACATTGTTACTTGTGATAGCATTTGTTGAGCCATCTTGGGAATTTAGTTTCTTATTGCTCTTTATCATGCTTCCGCCCCTAAAAAGCTGAATGGAGGGCAAATGTGCTCCTGTAGCACTCACACCTGCTCTGGGCCCCAAAGAGACCTTAAAATCCACAAATAAACCGACGCAGAGTCTCAGATTCACAAAAAGCTTTTAGAAGGATGAAAAATGTCTAGAAATCAACACATGGTGGGATGCTGGTTGTTGTGTATAGTGTTATGATAATTGTTTGGTTGCTGATCCGTACCTGGAGGTGCAAACAGGGTATTGTTTATGGGTTGCTACATAAAATGATTTGGTGAAGGGGCAATAAATAAGTGCTGAGAGTAACGGGTCACAAAAAGGCAAAAAAAAAAAAAAAGTCCCAAAATAATGACAATATCCAGTGCTGTGTAGGTAGAGAATCTTCATTTGACGTCCATTGTAGAAAATGTTCTTTCTTCAGCAAATGATTTGATAAATTCAAGCTGGCATTGCCTTGTTGACAAAAATGACACAGTTTCATATGTTGCAAATACTCCTATATAAAAAAGGAAAGTCTCAAAACAAAGAAGTTCTCCAACCTAGATGTCTTCGCTGACAGCTATTAAAGATCAGGCTGGGATTGCAAAGGGTGTCCTGGGATTTCAAGTCACACGGCTTCTGCCACCCGGATCGGTCAGCTGGTGTAGCTGGGCCAAAGTGTCACATGCTGGATGTCTGTAGTGAGGGGAGAGAGAGAGAGAGAGAGAGAGAGGGGTATGGTATTTCCCTCTCTCCCTGCTTGGTAGCAAAGGGTAATTTAAAGAGACATTCCTTCCTTCTATATCCTATGCCCCCATTCCTCTCTCTCTTTTTTTTATGTCTCTCTTGCTCTCATAGCTGACTGCTGACCCCATGTGTTGGCTCAATCTCTTGCAAATTTTCATTTTAATAGATAGTTTAACAATATTACTCTCATCTGAGTAATTTTAACTATTTAATTAAAATATCCCACTGATTAGCAGCACTCCATTTCCTTGCAAGGCCTCGAGATCACGTCACCTGTCCTTTGTATTGTCCAGTATTTATGGTCTGGGATTATATTCAAGGATTGTTAACCATTCAGAACTGAATTTAGAATGTCTTGTAAATTCGAATTTAATCAAATTAAAATTGATAGAGCATTAGCAAACAGGATGTAGAATTGCGATTTGAATTTGAATGAAAAGGAAGAGGAATGAAAATTAATTACTTTGTTTGAAAAAAAAAAGCTTTTATGTTTGATAGGCCTTATGGAGGGATGAGCTCATCTTGCTGATTGTCAAATATAACAAATCATTGTATAAGCTCTGTAATTGTACAATCCAGTTCCCTCATTTGGATTTATGCCCAGTCAACTGTGTTGAAGCCTCTATGAATTATTTTAATCAGAGCCGGAATGCAAACTTATCCTCCACTCAAAGTCAGCTGTCACTGGAGGCTCAAGGGATGGAATATCCTAATAAGTGTGTCCTGTGTGCGAGGGCAGGTTCAACTGTACCTCTGCTCCCTCCAAACACTGGCAGAAAATCCCTCCCTGTTGACTCAGATATCAATAACCACACTCTTACTGTGCAAAGAAGAAAATGCATGGCTGTAAATGTAGTTGACAGAACAACTAAAATTGCTGTTAAACATAAAACCCATTCTTTCCTGTGTTCATTCCCTATTGAAACAATTAACAGGTCACGCTCTTTTTTTAAATTATATATTTTTTATTTAAGTTTGGAAAACTAAGGATTTTTAAAATACATTTTAAATGTGTATATTTGCCAAAAGTTTAGTTTGTGCATGCAATATGCATGCATATTGCTAGCTTGAAAATCAGCAGACACAAACTAAAAGCTGAAGTCTTTAAATAAGCTTCATGATAAATGAGATGGACTGCAGGTTAGATACAGTGTGTCCTGGCTACATCTCTGAAATCAAACAAGTTTGGACAACAAGCACCCAGCCCAAAATTGTGATCATGTACAAGAGGTATAAAATGCTGGATCGCACCATATCAGTGCGATCGGGAGTTTCACAGGAGGGCGAAAAAATTCCCCATCAAGATCTCACTCGTGTTCAAGCTGCTTGCTTTGAAAGCGACGTCTCTTTGCTATTGACAACAGACAACGGACCTTGTTTTGTGTGCAATTTTTCACTAAAATGTCACTAATGTGATCGCAACTTAAGACAGTGTGGAAAAATGTCTTCAACAGGTGCAGGAAAAACAGCAAAGCTCTTAAACTAAAAGAGCACATTAGACAGACAAGATACTGTATCGATTCTTAATAGATATACAAATGTCCAAAGTTTGGGTGACACACTGGTGCGTGACAACACTGTTGACACCTAAAGTGTTTGCACTAAATATAACACATAATAAAACTGCGGAAGGATAGGCTCTGAGAAGAGGCACTATTATTGTCACCTGTTAATGTCCTTGCCAAGTAGTGTCATCAGAGACAGGCTTAGCACCTTGTTCTAGGAAGGTTAGATTCTGGTTATGATAACCTTTCTGATATGATGGGATTCATTTAAGTACTGACACACTACTGTGAGATACATAGAGAACAAAGAGGGCTAGAGGTAGTGTATAGTAAAGGTAAAAATGAGATGAAAACCATTGCATCATTGAGGTCATCTGATGTGGGTCCATAGTCAAATTCGTTAGATATTGGTGATTTATCTCCTGTATTCAAACTGGAATACGAGAAACATTAGATCTTTGAGGGTTGTGACTGAGTAGTTCATCATATGTTGTATAATTCATTAATTTATCAATATCTGATAAACGAATATTTTTTTACCAAAGCAGATTGTCTCGCTTTTTGTGTTTGTTCCATGTTGTTTTTTAATCTTATATGTTTGAGAAGTTTGTATGTGTATCACTGTATGTGTGATTTTTTTTTTCCGTCTTTGCAGCTCCTACATTATCTAGCAACATTTAAATGGTCTGTCTGCCCACAAAACAAGAACAAACTAACAGAGTAAGTCACTCTTGAGGTATGTCAACAGAATCTTCCAAGGTTGTTTTGAAATGTAAAGGTATGTCATTATACTGTGCATCAGGATGGCTCTACACATTATACAAAGTCTATGTTTACTTTTTGCATAGTTTCTTATGCAACAACATTTATGAAGTGGTTGGAGATTCCAGCTCACTTTGTATATTTATTTCTACAAAGCCATCTATCTATTCAACCATAGTAAAATCACCACCTGCAGAGCAAAAATGATGTTAAAATGAGAAAATTGAGATAATTTGGTTCAAGTTTTTATTGACTATAATTTTCATATGTAATTTACATTTGTCATACACAAATGCACTGAAAAAATGGCTGTTGGAAAATAACAAATAATACATTTAGTTAAGTTTATGCCTAAAACAAGTGAAAAAATTAGATATTTCTGTACACTTTAAACACACATTTTGACTCTGAATACATCTTGTTTTCATCAAGGAAATTTTTGCTGGAAATCAAGACATGCATTGTATTTATTTATTTGTTTATTTCTGTCACAACAGAAGTACCAGAAGTACAGTACATATCAGGTTAGATAAGAAGGATGGTGATGAATTCAACATCCCAAAAATTGTATTTGATTTGTATTTTTGACAATTAAGTTGCATGAGATTAGTGTTGGTTAAAAGGCGTTGTGTAAAATGCTGATGCATTCATTTGAGTCACACTTTCTGTGTACTGTATTTAAATTAAACATTTTGTTACCTTCCACTCTTGCATGAAACTCAGATTTATCCCGGGGAATATGAAAGGATTCATCAAAATGTCAGTTGCTCTTTTTCAGAAAACAAATATGCATGCTGATTATTTTACAAGTTATATAATAAGTGGGGCTTTCAGCTACATCTGTTGAACTACAAAACTGCACTACTATAATAATAAAATATTATTCAGTTATTTAAAGAACTACTAAGATTGTTACAGTATCTCACCTAGGGCACCAAGTAAGCCAGGACCACCACTGGTACTGGGCTTTGTGTACAGGTATGGAAAGAAGGTATGGGAATGTTCAGTTTGTTTCATGTACATAAATATGAATTGTTTAGATATTGCACATACCATATTGTGCAATGGCAGCATATTATACTTTGAAAAAAATCTGTCATCTGTTCATGAGAGAGGCAAAACTTTTGGTGTGCAACATGCAGGTGTCATACAATAGAATTGTACATTGAAAAGCCTATATAAATCACTTTGTCAGGACCTAATCCTTGTCTGTAAAGACGACTAATATAATTTTGATTCACTTTAAGTCCAACATTTTAGAATGAAAACATGAGTGATTAGTGTTTGATTACATCAGTCCCTCTGAAATCTCTAAACTGAATATAATTGCACATGTGGGCGTTCAGTTCCAGCAGCATTTAAATATGATCATTTCAGGCATAAAACTATATCAGATCTCATCTCAGATTCTGTGCCTCAGAAACATTGTTGACCAGGTTGGCACAAGCCTTGCCAGTGTGAGGAACACCAGATATATCATCTCAAGGTTTCTGTAAACACTCGACCAGGTTAGTAGGCCACTTTTAAGGTGTTATTGTACTGTTTACAGTTGAAAAGCAATTCATCATAATAATAATAATAATAATTATTATTATTATTATTGTGAGCCCTATTGCTTTTATCTTAAAAACGTATCATTTTAAAAATTGGAAATTGTTTTTAGCATTATTCCTCTTTAATTTTTTAGACTTCAGCAAAAGCAATTTGGATGAAAACATGAACACCACTATCTCTGTCAACCGAACGTCCTGCGTTTATGAGTGTTTTGACTCTTACCCTGGGATTATCATAGCACTGAGCTCTTTACTTCTAGACGTAATTTTCTTTTTGCCTTTACATTTCTGGATCCTTTTCATGTGCTTCAAACAGCTGACTAAAGGGAAGGGCATTCCACCTACTGACTACTTTACAGTTGTCTTGTCTCTAATGGAAATTATCGCATTCTTAGGCTTTTTCATGTGTATTATTTCAATTGTTTTTGAAATTTCCTGGACCATGTACATAGCTATGTTCTTGCTTGGC